TGTTCTTGGAGATGGCAACACAATGTTGCTTAAATGACGAGCTCAACCAATCTTCACCGCTTTCCGTCCATTACAGATATCCAGTAGTTACAAGATTGAAACGCTATCAGAAAGAAAATAGGTTTGTGTATGGCTTCTACACACCAACCTCATACCTAGTAATGAGGACAGAAAACTACGATATTCTAACGGTGGTTAGGGAGTCTTTTAAGCAACTATGGCCAACTGTCTGTGTCTGCGTCACGTTGACTTTGATATCAAGAATTGTCATATGGCTTCTGGTATGTAAGTCTGTATTTTGTAGTTTTTGGGTGACTGAGGCTATACGGTAGGTCATTGATGTATGTGAAATAATTATAGATTTCAAGATTCTGTATTAAATTAAGATTTCTGGCACGATGAAGTTAGAGAATATCTTCCAACTTTGATTCCTGATTAAATTTTGACCCCATCTCCCTTGTGCAGTGTTTTCTCTTCTAGGACATAAATTATATCGCTGTCACTATCCACCAGACATAATGATGACAACTCCCTGCTTTCTAAGTAAAAAGGAAAATATTGCCCCCTCACAACTAAAGCAAAGGTCCATACAATTGATTAACTGGAATTCCACTTTTTAAAAGCTCGTCCAAATGTTTTTGTTATTCTAGGATCGTCGAAAGAACTCGATTGAGTTCCCAAAAACATTCCATAAAGGTGTTCTTGAAGTAGCATGGTGGGCAAAGGTAAGCATGACAACAGTGGGGTAAGATGAAATTAGTTACGGAAAACAGTGACTGATAATCCTAATTTTTTTTAGAGGAACCATATCGTCCTCGAAACCCATCTTTGCCAGGTAATCCTGAGTATAAACTGAAGCAAGTGTAATAAACTCTTGAAGAGTGAGCCTCAATTATTACTAATTATTAAATTGTCGATTAGGAATATTGCATTTTTAGTGTTCTGACTGGCTCACTCACCTGCAGTTATCAGCTCATATTCCGAGTTACCTATGGAAAGGTAATGTGCCAACTATTGGTTAAATAACCAAACGTTCAAAATTTGATAAAATTGAATAAAACAGTTATCTCATTTCCGCTTGTTGGATATGAGACTGGATAGAGCCAACTCTGCGCTACGCACTCCGTTGGCTATTTACCATCTCATATCCGACGTGCACTCATGGAATAGCTGTTAAATGACACTTTTCTTAGCTTTTCTTATTTCCTCAATAGTTATGGAGATAAGTCGCCCAAGTCTTTTCCAGCCCGCATTTATGCTGCAGCTTGGATGATAATTGGTATGATAATTCTGTCCACATTCACCGCTGAAGTTTCTTCAGGATTGGTGAGAAAGGCAATAATAACTCATGAAACAACTATAGGCCGATCCGTAAGTACCTTGTGAATTTTTAAAGTGTTGCGATTCCTATGGATCCACTAAATTGATGGCGACACGTCAGAACACAGCAAACCGAAGCTCTATTCAAAGTAAACACGATTCACTTTGACTGTGAATTCATAAGAATCATTTATGTGAACTGCGGGTTAAGATAAAAATATCAGAGCCATCTTCGCAGTGATAATCACTACTTAAGCAGCAGTAAAAATACGGTTAGAAAGAAAATTCAGGCCTCTCTGGGATTTGAACTCATGACTTCTTCGATACCAGTGCTGTGCTCTACCAACTGAGCTAACAGGCCAACTTGAAGCTGGTCATATTCACAGTCATTTATTCATCAATTCTTTGGTTCACGGTCATTAATTCATCAATTCACGAGTATATTACAAACCAACGTGATAACGAGCTCAAAGTTGGTTTATTAGCTCAGTTGGTAGAAATTACTACCAAGATCGCTTTCATATTCAATATCCATTTTGTCGAAGGATGAACTTTTGCTCACACCGCGTCACCTATAAATCAGCACAAAATTCAACATATATAAAATGTCACCATGCGTCATAATGTGTGCATGGGTTGCTTGGCTCATTGGTTGCTTGGTTGCTGCC